TGCATGGTGCTTTCAGATGCTGCTCCGACTCCAGCACCTGGACCTTGGTAAGAAAGGGCAAGGCTCCACTAATCTAAACGGGATTCTGCCTGACTGCTGCTTCCTGAAAGCAGGTTTGGTCGCACTTTATCTGCCGTCAGATTTTAACAGGATAGAAACGGCCGCGTGCGTGAGTTGCCAGCAGCTGCGAATTGTGGATTTGTGCCAAACGGATGTCATTGAGATTTTGGGTTCAACCTTTGCACACTGCTCGCAGCTCCAGCTGCTCAATCTTTCCGGAAACTGCGCATCATTGAGCAAGAAGCCTTTCTTAAGTGCACCTCGCTGCAAGGTCTGCATCCTACCATCCCTGCTTTACATTGCTCGGCGTGCTTTTGCAGGCTGTACGCAGCTTCGAGCAGTTCGTAAACAGGGAAAAAGCAAAACATGGCGAGGTACACAATGCCCGGCTCAATGCCTTTGACAAGTGCGAGCAATTGGACAAGCCCCAATGGCTCCGATTCCTGCCGCCAAATGCCAATGACCAATGGAGAGACGACTTCTAAGCAGCCACACGCTAAGCTGGCAAAGCAAATGACAGTGGGAATGGACTGCTGTTCTGCGGTCTCAATTTTGTGAGCCAGGTTCAAGAAAGCTCAGGCTAAGCCATCCTTTCGGCCTCAGTAACTTCGTCACAGTGAGCCTGTAGGAATGAGAGCCTTAGCTTTCGCTCCTAATAGGCGGGTGGTAGAAAATGGCAATGGAAGGCTGCCAGGGGGAACCTTAGTTCTCCTTGCAGCGGCCACGCCATGACCATTGCTGTACAAAGAGGCACAAGTACCATGCTAGGATAGGTCCATGTTTCACTGGTTTCACCCGGGCCTTGCACGCAACAGGAGACTTTTTGCAACTCAGTGCCGCTCTCTCTTTTTGAAACAGAGAGTACCACAATGGCACTCCTTGAGTGCTAAGGGGTGCAAAGGTGACCTCCCTTCGGGGGGACGGCACCTCCATCGTCAGCAAACCCCTTTCGTTGTCTCTGTCTCCACTGCCTGACAATCGACATGCCTCTCGTCTCTGTCGTGCAGTCAGTTGAAAGGGTTGTGCAATGAGATGGGCCTTTTCCATGGCTTGCTAGGCAGAGCAGCAACTGACTCCCCTGGTACAGAGGAAACGCGCTTTGACGAGGGGAATTGTGGCTTCTGGTTTCTGTTTTTTGTTTGGGGTTGGGGGTTTTTTGCTTGTTTTTTGTGTTGCTTGTGTTCTTTTCCCCCTCATCACGACGCGTTTCCTTCCCTTTCAATGATGACCTGGGCACTCCGCCCACACGGCGTCCGCACTCGTGGAAAAAGAATTCGTTCCACTAGTTTGTGCACTAGACTGGGAAGTAGACATGCAGGTGGTGGATGGGGAGGTCCGGCTTGCCTAGGCTTTGATTCCGTCCAAAGGACATCACCACTGTCTGCATTAGTGCTAAGGCGGCCTGTGGCTTCGATGTCTGGCGCCTCCCTCATGATTGCTCTCAGCACCGGGGCCCCGTTTGCCTTCTCAATTTTGGACTCACAGGCCTTGGCACAAAAGGACAAGAGACCGTAGAGCCAGTAGGCCGGTTCTGCACAAAGCAACAGTCCTGGGCGGTCTGCATGTGTGTCAGTGCTCGAGGCTGGTTTAAGGAATGCAAAAAGCGACGCAAGCCGTCTGACAGCTGGCATGGGTGATCCGCAGTGCAAAACCGATGTGGAACAAATTTTGAACCACACTTGTTTTCTTCACCGGCGCGCATGTGGGTCAGTTCGTCCAACGTTTGAAGACATGAGACTCCAGTGAGACACTTGTGTCTTTGTCAGCCCACAACCCTGACAAACTTGAAAATGGGACACGGGCTGAAACAGTGCGTTTGTGCTATCACTGCAAGTTTCGACCGAGAGATGCAAAAAAAAAATCAAAATCCATGTGGGCTGAGCCAAGCAAACTAGTGCGTTGTTCGCATGTTTTGGCAAAATTTGCACTTTTGAAGGTCACAACAATCGACCACTGGACCTTTCATGCAAGCCTCTCTCCGCAAGCCGAACGACCAAGCGGAAGCGCTGAGGCAGATTCCACCAAACGGTAGCATGTTAAGTGTTTGTTTTTTTGGAACTGCACTGTTTTTGTGCATTTTCCAGATGTGCTCTTGTTGACTCCACTTCCAACCAATGTGAAAACTGAGTGGAGGCTCCACTTGTTCAGGGGCTCCATTTGTGACGCCATTGACCCAACCTTGCGTTAACAGTAGATTTTGGACCACAACAACCGTGAAAGTTGGCAAGCTTTCTCACACATTTTCATCTTATTTTGTTCATTTGGTGCCATTTTACTGCTTTCTCTCATAAATCCATTTCGTTTGCAGCAAAAACGCCAATGGTCCATTTCCTCAGATCATTGCATCATTCGCTTAGCTGCTCAGCTCAACCGGTTCAGGTCTTTGACGCAGAACATTTTGCGTAGAAATGCGAATGTATCGCAAGAACGCTTAACCATGGCCGGAATTTGTTCCATGGATTTTGTGTTCAGTCTTCGTTTTTGTATCGACAGTGACTCGACCCGAAATCAGTCTGCCACATCGTACCTTCAGATGGGTGACGGGCATGGCATGAACGATTTTGTCTATCAAGGACTTTTGTGGTGTGTTCTGTGGTTTGGACCCAAACACGTTCTGGTTCCTTGTTGATTTGTCCACAATTTCTTGTGCTTTATTTTTCCTGAACTGTCCATAACCCTTTGAATACTTTGTGATAATTTTGAAGCCGCGCTTTTGTCGTGAACTTGTAGTTACATTGTTCCATGCACTTTACTTGCAATTATCGCATATTTCGTCTCTGATTTGTGGACTTAAGCAGAATGCAGAGCCATTCTGTTTGTTTTGCACTCAGACATGCTACATGTACAACAAACCAGCGTTGTTGTTTCACTGTAGCCTCATCGGTTTAGGAAATCATGCAAACTAAACAACTTGATTTGTCACTGCTCAAACACCTTCACATTCTTCAGCGTGCTGCAATGGCAAAGGCTCGTCTCCAGTTTTGCTCATGTCAACCGTTTTCCATCTGTCAAGCAGTCCCAACTTCGCCAGGTAACAGCATATGTCTACGATATTACCCAGGCTCGCAGCTGGTGGCGGAATACTCTTTGTCCATGGGCTTCTATGCTCAGTGCATCATGAATCTTGATGACATTTTTGAGAAGGAGTTCGATACTCAAAATCGTCCTTGCTTTGATCGTCTTCGCTGTCAGGGAATGGCTGCGCAGATGTCTCTACCTTTGATAGGCCTGCAAGTCGCTGCTCGTGGTTTTACTCGCCCGCAGATGGCCCTACTCGCCCCGGTGCTGATGCGTGATGCGTGATGTTTTTGACAGCTTGGCTTCAGCACAACTGCACGCTAAAACATCCGTTTTCCCCAAAAGTCGATTGAAACCAGGCTAAAGCAATGCATCTACACACAGCAAGACCACTTGAGGGTTGGAACGATTAGAAGCTGCTTGTTTTCCAGTGTCTTCGAGGTTGGGATCTCAGAGTGGGGAGGGGGATCTGGAGAACGGACAAACTCTGTGCGACATACCTTCGATGAAGGAGACCTGACCTGATGCTGAGGCTATGACGAGGGAACTCGACACACGAAGTGTCGCTGAGCTACGTGCAGAGTTGGAGGAGACTTTTGTGTCAGGGAGCTGCGTGTACACGTATGTGAGAGTGTCAGGAAGTTGAGAGTAGCAGGAAGTGAAGACTATGTCATGCAGGGTCGGTAGTGCAAAAGGAGAGCCAACCTTTTTGTTCCAGGTAAGCAATGAACGCACGACTGACTTACAGTACGCAAATGCACTCACCTTGCCACTTTTCAGCTGTTTCGACTTGAGACATGACATAAGGTATCCTACCTTTCCTTTCTTGTATTCAAAGTGAGCAATCTTGTCCAAGTTGGTTTGGTAGGTAGACTCTTGCCTTTGAATCTACGACAAAAGGGGCCACCTTCATAGGCCCAAGAGGTTAAGAGGGTTCAAAGACGACCATCCCTCAAACGCCCAGCGCACCGAGTCGCCCCTTCGCCAGGCGGCGCAGGCCCGGCTACGGGAAGATTTGCGCGGCACTGAGAAGGTGTTCGGGGCGAGCGAAGGTGGGCGGGGCGGGGTGGAGTAGAGAAAGCAAGCACATTCCTCATCGTTCTTTGTATGTCAGCCTCATGCTTTCTTCCTGGCTGCCCCTGCACTTTGTGATGCTTTCTAGGGCCGCTGATCATTCGGCCAGCGGCTCTCGGGCTTTCGTTTGCATTGCCTTAGTCTCTGAGGCAAGGGCAACTGTGGAACTACTATGGTGCCTTGCGAGATCCTGCTTCGGCCCTCAAGGCCACTTATGACATTTGCATATATTTGCTGTATTTCTTCGCGTCTTTTTCGCGCGGAATACTTGCGGTAGATCCCCGGAACCAGAACAGGAGACCAGATATCAGTTCCTCCGTGCCAGCGTGAGTAGTTTAGCCTCACCTCTGCCAAGCTGGTCGATTCTCATCGAAGCAAGATGGTTCTTCTAAATTCTAAAGAGTATTGGATTTTCCGAGGAGCGGGTTGACCAGTTGGAGGAGAAGATGGAGGAGTGGTTTTCTCTCAGCATGTGGAAGACTTGCTTTTAGCATGGAGGGTTTTTCGTCGGCTTCGGACATCCTCAGGGAGTCCTGCACCGGCAGGACTTGACACGCGGCTCTGGAAAGACTCCAGAGGTGTCCACCTTGGATTCGCAGGCCCTCATGGCGGGTGACGAAAGCCGTTGGCTCGTTTTCGTTGGACTCCACTAGTACCAGTCGTCACACTCAAAAAGAACACGAACTTTGAGGGTCCTGCTGTTTGGGCCTTTCATTCCTCAGAGCTGGAAAGATTCTGTTTTGAAGCATTGCTTGGTAGGTTGAGTCGCATTTGATGTTTTTCAGGTAATCTTGGAAACTGTGAGGCGACCTAGACAGCCCCGCTGCGTTTCTGGCTCCCACATTCGCAGCCCAAATTTGCTCCAACGTCTCTTGGTGTTCCACCTCCTTCAGGATGTGGAGGCACTCTAGCTGCAAGTGTCTCAGTGATGTAGCACCAAGACTACAAAATGGCTGATTTTACACCCGTGGGCATTGTCGTCAACTACATTCTTCCTTGGATGATTTGCTATCATGACTCATGATTGAACATGCAACATCTGTTTTTGCAGCGGGAGCAGCCAATGGGTTACAGGAGTATTTAAAACGCATGCCGCTTCGGATCCTCACACAAGCAAGGTTGTTCCTGACCTTGTTTGCTCGGGGGTACTCCGACAACTTCTCTTGCGCATCAACTGGAGGCCGGCTAACTTGCATGCTCTTCATGGTAGAGAGCAAGAAGCTGTTGTCTTGAACAGCTTGAGTTCTTAGAAAGACGTGCCAGCAAAGGTTGCTTTGCGTGGTTTGGCTGTAACGTGTGGTTACTCAGTAGGGTGATTGAACTTGTGGTAAAAAGTGTTGAACTCACAGCAACGCAAAATTCTGCCCTGACGGGCTTTCCAAAGTGATGTCCCACCTTGGAGTCTGGATCTTTCAGACATGAAATTGATGTTTCGCCTCGCTTCCAAAAGGTTTGGGTCTCCTACAAAAGTCTCCATCAGTTCAACGGCTCACAGTTGAAGTGGCATCTTGGCTGAGGGTTGCAGAACTGCTTGGCATGCCCACAATTTGGTCAGAATGTCAGGTTGATATATATATATATATATTTGTATATATAGTGGGTGCTTCAAATCAGCGAGCATCATAGCCTCAAGGTGGAAGAACGTGAATGATACATTTACTGTATCCAAGTCTCAAATCGCTTAGAGTCTTAGAGTCCATTGGAATATTGGATTGGTTTTCCAGATCCTGTGTTCTTGACATCTGAGCTTGTTCCACTTGTGCCCTCCCTCTGGAAAGACAAGGTCGCCAAAGACGCTTGTTGGAGTTCCGAAAGAACATGGAACCATTGGAAGGTTGCAGTTCATATTAAGCAGCTCGCCCTTTTGTTTCTTAAGACTTGAGTTCGCTGATGAACTCCAACATCATGACAATCAGGAGCCGTTTTTCAACCAAGGAGAGCATCGATCGGGAGTGGGTGGCCGTGGACGGTGGAGCGGACCGTGCCTGCCGTGGGAAGTCTGCTGGAGACAATCTGGCCTCCTACTTCACGGTGAATTCGGTGGGGTCTCCCAGGAAGGATGGGCCTATGTGGGGATGGATGGATTTCAGTTTGTGGGGGGGCCTTGTGCACATGCCATACTTTCATGTGCACCCACAGTATAGGACAGTTCTTTCAAAAGGGCCCCCCCTTTTCCTGGTTGTTGGAGGGATTCTCGGTTCAGTGCCGCGGAAGCGTAGTGTAGGAACAACTTACCTAGGTGCACGGACGCAGTGAGGGTCAAGAAGCCTTTTGACCTGAGGTGACAGCAGAGCTTGCTCGAAAACCTAGAGCCTGTTGTTTCAAGGTCTTGAGTCTTGAAACAGTTTCAGTTTATGGAGTTTGCTTACTTTCGGCACATTTGTGGCTCAATCTTTGGACCTCACCTCTGTTTCATCTGTTTCCCTCTTTCGTTTGACACACACCCAGCGAAGGAGCGAATCTGTTCTTCGGTCCTCTACCGGTTTGACCGACGGTTGATCGACGGTTGATCGGCCCAGCCGTGGGAGTCCGATGCACATCGGCACGTTTCACATCGCCCAGAGCGTTGGGAGAGACCGCCAGACCCATCCAGGGCTCTCCACGGATCCCAAGGGGTGTGGTTGTGGCGCCCTAGCGATCTCAGGGCCTGGCGAGTCTCAGCGCCTGCCAAGCGCTCTGCGAGGGGACGGCCAATTGCCAGGGTGTGGAGTTCCACACCTCGGGGCGCTGTGAGGCACTGAAGAAGTGGGACATGGACAGAAAAGCTTTGAGGAAGTAGACAACACATCCTGTCTTCGGACCATGCTGTCTTCTGAAAAGACATCCCCTTTTTCACTCGTTTCACTGCATAATTAGTGGCCGGACGCCAGGGCGGGGGGGTTGAGCAGCAATGTTCCGCTTTCGATGATTTTCAGGTGTGGACGCGCCCTGGGGGCATCGAGGCAAGCATTAGCTTGGATCTCAGGGGAGACGGATGGCAGCACTTTTTTTGGCACTGTGAATCGGCCAATATGGGCTTATGGTTTTGTTATGGTCTTGTTTAGAGGATGCGTAGATCTTAGGGAAGCTAGGGAAACTTAGGACCGCGCAGGTTGCTTTCAAAGGTTCGGCTTGTTAAAGGATCCTGTGGAGTGAATCTGTGTCATGTGAAGTGAAGATATGGTGGACCTAGGGGTTGGTACGAGCCCCCCCAGAAACGAAATACGTCATCAAGGACCCTCATCAGGGGCGGTTTAAAAGAATCCTTTATATAGTTTGTTTGTCATATTGATTGTATCATTCTTCATACACCCTGCAAGATATTGAGTGCTTTGAGCCTGAAGCTGAGAGGAGGTCGTTTCAGGTTGAGCCATGGTCTGTCCCGCCATGCCTAGCCGGCTGGTGTGTCTGAAGAGGGTGTCTACGGAGCAGTCTCGTGTTATAGTAGACTCTTGGATCGTAAAATAGTCAGGTTTTCCACTCTCCCGTTCGGGACAAACATGCTGCCGAAGCACCCGGAGCATTCCATCAGGTCTCTCTGGCTATTCTTGCTACGCCTATGCGCTGTCGGATTTCATTCCGGCGGACGATGGCAGCAACCGAGCATGTCGTGGAGACACCGCCAATGACGATCAAGCCAGCTACTATCAGGTGAGGCATGTGAGAAATCCAAGTTTGTCGAGGCTTGCTTTGATTGGTCATAAACAGGAGAATTCCGAAAACTGGCAAAGTCATGAAGGGCTCTAACACGGATAAAACCCAGAGCAAAGAAGAACAATTCTTCTTTTGCTGCACACTCCAGGTGACCTCGGTTTCTTCACTGGGCGAGTGCAAAGAGCTGTGCCGAAGCAATGTAGCTTGCAGAGGCGATCGCGGTGGCTGTTGGGACGGCCGGGATCTGTGCAGAGCGGGCAATGAGTTTGACCAGGTAGTGTAGGAACCCTCGTTCCGAGTAACCCGATGTGAACCAACTGATTCAAGTGGGCCAGTTGGGCCATGATTGAAAGGCTTGCCCAACCGTGTAGGAGAGTGACGTTACCATTTTGTTAACTTGTTACGCAATCCCTCTCATTGTGCCTATTGATTTCCTTGACATTGTCCACGTCTATGCTTTCAGAATGCTTAGCCAACATGAATTAAAATGCCAGGCAATGTGACTTAGCCAGCTACCCTGGAAAGAAGCTAACAGATTGGTCGTCCAGGATGCTTGCCGATATCCAATGCAACTCCCTGTTGCCTTTGGCTTTGCACTTTGGGTTGGTGAAGTACGGAGGTGCTTCAATATCACTAAGACCGAAGGTTCACAGACCGAGTATTACCATGGGGACATGCCTGTTGATCTACCGATCACGGCCGCTCATAGAGCGTAAAAGTCAAGCAGAGCGACTTCCGCATCTGTGCAACCGACAATGCTATTGCGAGTTGAGCTCGATACCGGAATCGTTCCTTAGAAGAAGCGAGCACCTTTTGGGGTCAGGGTCCGGCCGACACATATCAATATCAACACCTTCATATCAACACCCTCAGAACCTGGAAACTCATCTCCCTCGCCGCCTCGGCCGAAGAGCCGCCTCTCGAGGCGTGGAGTTCTCCGGGTCGCGCTGTGAGGTGTGGACCCGGGCCATCCGGGCCACGGCGGCACTCGCGGGCGCGCAGTGCTTGAAGCCACTCGGGACGATGTGGTGGGAGGAGTTTGGAGAGATCTGGAGAGTTTCGATCTGAGATGAGAGTGTTTTTTCACATCAGGTGTTATGAAGGATGTTTCTTTCCTGTGATCTTCTTGTTTCGCTTCCAGCGACACTTGCTGGAACTAGGCTCGAATTCGCTCTCATCGATGGTCCGGACCGAGCGTGCCGTGGATCTGGAGCGTCTGACAACAACCCTGCACATTATACAGTGGCTGAAGGAGCGTGGAGTTGGTCCCATGAAACTCATGTTTCATGAGGGCCGATGCTGGATGGTCCTTATGGAGGTGCCCTTGTGCGTGTGGCTCACCCACTTGTTTGTGGCATTCAGAGCTTTTCCATCCTTAGCTAGAATGTCTGACCAACTGCTGGGGTAAGATGTGGTAAAAGGAAGCACCAGTTTCGATGTGGAAGACAAAAGGTAACCTAAGCGAGAAAGCTCCAAGCCGCCTTGCATCCTGTAGACGCTCAAAAACAGGAAACGGATGTTTGTCCACCACGCTTGTGCTGCAGGATCACTATCGGAAGCTGCAGCTCATTTGCAATCTCTTAGTCACAAAGATGACGGCAATCAGCGAAATGGACATGGGAAAGGATTGTCTTTTGATGAATAGATTGATATATTTATATATAGATGATGACTTTTTCAGCTTTTCGTCTTCGTGGGCCTCAAGCCGGCTGACCCCAACTTTCGGTCGTAGATCATACTGTAATAGTACCCTTGTGTGTCGGCAAATGTCATACACATTTCAATGATAGCGGCCATTGTCGTCAGCTCTGTGGAAACACCGTCTTCATCCTTCTTCTCTTCCTTTGCCTAACTGGTCAGAATCAGACTCCCTCTTGGCCAGCCAGTAGGAAAAATCCAGAACCCAGCGGACCCAGCGGCCCAAGGAATGCAAGCAAGCTTGTCGGCTGCACAGTGGTTGTCAGGGCATCGAGCACAGCGGCAGTCGCTGTGAGATTTGGACCCGTCCCGAAGGGATCCAAGCGACGGTGACACTGACTGGCTTTAAGCGACCTGGCGGCGGTTCTTTTCTTTGGCAGGAATGCTTGATTGCTTGAAGTCGCTTGAGTTCTAGTTGGTTCTGGCTTTGGTTTGTTCCTGTGATCAGCAAGGTCATGCATAGGACATTGTGTTGGTGCCTGTTGCAAGCACTACATGTTTCTCTCAGTTGCTGCTGTGACGTCACTGGCTCGTCACTGGCTCACTCTTGCCTGACAAGCTCTTTGGCTGCGTACAGAACGCCACCCCTCTGAGAGTCCTTCTGAGGTGCTACGCCTACCAAGGAAGCAGCTCGGCGAGCAAGCAGGGTGGGTTCTGGTAGGTTTGCAACATTCCTGGGACTATGAAAGAATTCATCAGCTTCATGAAGTCCTGGTGACTTCGCGTGCATCCAGTCCTGCCGAGTTTGGAACCGGACAGGTCTGGAGTCCTTTCTGTGGTCACGGAGAGATCGTTTTTGAAGCAGGACAGTCGTAGCATGCGGATTTCCGTAGTTGTTTTCCTTGCTTCGACGGCTTTGGCTTTCTGGGAGTTTGGATGGGGATGTAGATCACGGAAGCATGCGGATCGATAAATCTCTTGGAGACTATTTCAGCCGAATGAGTTTGAACCAGTGTCTCAGCTAGGTCTACAGCCTCAGAGCATGGAAAGCACATGTTGAATTACTTCCCTTTTCATGACAGGAATCAGGAAATCACGGAATCACGTTTCTTTTTGCCTTGGCTTCAGAGATTAGTGGGGAAATCTAAAACATCGTCGCAATCCATTGGGCTTTCCCTATTGTTTACATGTCTCTAAAGTTAACAGTTCTTTGCAAAGCCACCTGGAATCTGACCCTCCCTCCTGCTTCCAAAATATTCTTCATTGCATACCAGAGCTCGCCACAGGTCGTCCGCTTATTATGATGTTCGTGGATTCGCCTTTCCATCTTGGGGAAATCGGAAGTTCGGTTCATCTTTTAGATTTGTCAAGTTGGACTCCGACTCCGAGTCCCAAGTCCCTCGATTTGAAAGAACCATTTTTTTCACAACAAATGTGGGGTCCCGCAGCTGGGTTCTCGCATGGTCCCGCAGTCGGGAAAGCAGTCGTTTTGTAGCGCTGGGCACGTGAGGGTGTGTCTTCTTTGTGACCAGAATCTTGGGCAACAGTTACAGATATACCTCGTATCCTGCGTATGGACTGTCAGGTCTCCACCTTGGCCACTGACCTCATTTGCCCACCCTTCTCGCCCGAGGTGGGGTCTCAACGACGACCACGCCAGCCCCAGAGGGCTCAGCCGCTGAGAAGGCGAGTTCACTCTGCAAAGAGTCTCCTTGTGATAGAGCCGTTGAGCGATAAGGATTCATTTCTATGGTGTTGGTCATTTGGATTGACTGTTCAACAACCATTTAGGCTTACAAAGAGACCTTCTTTGTGAGCGGGCAGAGGACAGAGCAGAGTACCAAGGAATCCATCTTCCCCACGCCCAAAACTTGCTGTTGACTCGGAATGAACTTTCCAACCACACGTGCTGGTGCCTTGTCCTGGTTTGTGCTCCCCGTAGGTCAAGTCGAAACATGCAGGCCATGGGGTATGGGTGACTTGCACGTGAGGCGCGCTTCCTCATTCAAGCCACCTTTGGGCCAACGATGGCTAGCTTGGCTGCAATGGAGCAGATGAACTTTCAGCAATGGATCGATGATCAAATGGGCCTTCCTCTTCAATCCCACCGCGAGTTTTGGCGCCAGCGTGCGAACCCACACTTGTCAGCGATGCTTGGCCGCGAGTTTGGGCTTTTCCTCACCCTCCGTCCTTGCGCCATCTTGGCCAATCCCTCCGTTCCGTCGTGTTTTCCGCGATGTGAGGACGGACGAGCAGGGCGACCTGGTGGGGCTCACGCGCTCCCGATGTGAGCCGGGCTCCAGATGGGTGGGCTACACCTTCCAGAAGCGTGATGAGGGGAAGGCAGTGAAGGTGCCGGACCCGTGGGGGGTGGTGGTGAAAGAGTGGCCGTGAGCCGAGAGCGAGGTAAGTAGCCCAGAGTGGAAACAACATCCAGTAGCTCAGAGTAGCTGGGCTAATCCAACTGGTGAGAACAAGCGTGAGTAGGCCATAGTAGGCCAAAAGAGTAGACACGTGTTGGGATTTGTTGGGCTTGCAAAACATGTTCTTCTCGGGCTAAGGACATTTGAAGTGGGCACTTATCAAGACTACGAGGTCTTTTCACCTCTCAGGAAGGCCTGAATGGCTTTTCACTAGCTTCAACATGCTCAAAGGAAATGTATTGATCTCACAACTCTTGTGTCAGGAAGGCTCAAATCTATAGGGTATGACCGGGCACTCAAATCCAAAGTTCTCATTTCAACCTTGCCCCTTCCCACAAAGAAATGTAGCGATCGAAAAGACATGTCCTTTCCAGTGCCTGTTTGAAGCGCTTGGCTTTTTCCGAGATTCCCATCATGTGAAAAATTGGTCGATCCCACATTTTTTGAGGTGTCAAACAACCAGATCTTTGTTGATGGCCTCCGACGGACTGATATTGATCCCAATTACGCTGGCCGAGTCCTAAGCCGGATTTGTGCTTCACGTGTGGCATTCCACTCCTTCACGTGGCGTGTGGAAAGAACCGCTGGCTTTGACATGTTTGTTTCGCTCCAGCACGTCGAGAAGTCTTGACGCGTCTTGAGGGGTTCACGTTTCCAGCGTTGCATCGAGTGAGGCAATGGCTTAGATGCGCCAAAAGTTTGCAGCAACGATCCGCCCGAATACTGGCAGACCAGGGGCATGACCTGCGAGACCTTTGACCCAGACACTAAGAAAAGAATTCATGAGAGAAGTTAATGGAAACGCCCAGTGATCCACTTTAGGGCATGAGTGTTTTGGATGGTTGGGAGAATGTGAGAATCTAACCCTTGTGGGTGAGGTGAGGGAGATCGCTTGCCAGAAAGCTCATGCCAGGGTTGAGGTCGATGAAAGACCAAGTTGGTCCACGTCGACCCAGCATATATCAATGACCAGGCGGTCGCAAGGTGACACTGCTCAGCTTTGTGCCCAAACAGCTGAACTTGACCGTGTTCATGGGCAAGTTCTCCTGCAATACCCTGGACACCCTGGACATATGCAACCTTTTGTGCCAATAGCAGCCCCCCATGGGTGACTGCGGTGTTCCAGATCAAAACCTATTTGGGCACAACTGCGAATTGCTAGAGGTAGTGAGTTGCAGGGTCGCATCTCTCCAGTGAGCGCCAGGACCCCCGGGGATCACATGAATTGTCCCAGCCAGAAGAAAGTTTCGTCAAGCGGTCGCAGTAGCTGCACGTTGACCCGAGGACAGCATGTCCTGGAACTGCTATTCAGATGGTTGGACTGACAGCTGCCGGCAGACTTGCTTCGACCTGGGCCATAGTCCTGGAGATGACTGCTCCACTGGCTGGGTTGGACGCTTTTCATGGCTGTTAGCAAAGGTTTTTAGTGTTGACGTCGAGCAGGTGCATTTTCCCCGTTGAGGTTTAACCTGACTCATGGTGGGTTCTGACTCGTCGTTTCAGAGTGGCCGGTGTGGCCGGGGTGGCGCTTTCTCCGTCCCAACCTGACTGGCAGGAAGGACCTTTGATGGCTTCTTGTGCTCTGTGAAATCGGATGCTGTGGGAGCATGGGTTTTACTCGCCACTTCAGAGGATTGCACTGAAGGGCGACGTCCACTTACAAATCCTCACATTTGGAGAGCCAACCCAAGTGCCGAAATGACTCAGAGCTTGAGCTTCTCAGTCTTCAAAAAGACTCTTTGAAGGCTCTAATTCTCAGGTTTTTCCTTTCTGCAGGTGCAGTAGTTCCACTGGAGGAGACACCATGTCCAACACATTGGTTGGACGAAGACACCATTTCGGTGAGTTGACCGGACCCGAGATGCGTGGTTTTGACCATTCGGCCGAGGAGCGTGCTTCATCTCACTGCCGCGCCTGCGCAGTGCAACTTGGGGACGGTGGCCCGCTCCACTGCCGAAGGTGTCCCACGGTTTTATCTATTGGATCCTCGACTCCAACTGGTGAAGAATACACTGCAAGAGCCTGCATCCTCCAGCTCCTGGGGAGGAGGGATTTGTCCGGCCGTCAGCAAGACCTTTCTGAATGAAGGCAGCTGCAAGCTTCTTCCGGGATGCCTTCCAGTGGGAATGGCCTCGGTGCAAGTCCCCCTGACTGCAGCGACGTTTGCCACCTTTTTCAGTGTGGGTGGCCGGTATGTCTATGCGATCAAGGGCCTCCGGACCTCCACGAATCCTTGCAACCGACGGTCCAGGCGAAGCGTATTCACGAACCAATAAAACCACGACTCGGAGCCTTGATCTGTGGTGGCCACCTTTGGTGTTTTTGGGTTGAAACCAGATACAATAAAAACACATGTATTTGTAACTATTTGTAAACAAATACACACACACACACACTGCATGAGTCACTACATGGAAATATCCGTCATGCTTCCCATTCTTCTCACCGAAATCACCGAAATTGGACGCGAACTTGTCAGGTGGAGAAAGCTTGATTGCGCCAGTCAGAGCTGTTCTGCCACCTCGCTCTTGGCCAATGACTTGGCGGCGATTCAAGCGGAGCTCACTGCTGCCAGCGCCCAGGGATGGCTTCGAGATGTGGATGTCGAATGCGGGGAGGTGGGGGAACTCTTCCGGTTGTGTGTGCATTCTTGGGATGAATCCAAATGCAATGCACCACCATCAGCTCATGAACTTGTTGTCTCTTTTAATTTTCCCAATTTGGGAGACCTCATGAACTTGACTATATAGTCCAGCTTGCAGGACTTCTTGAGACCTGTTCGTCAGGTTGCGGCTGGTGTGGTGGTCGAAGTGGGTTCCGAGCATTTTCAGCACGTGCACCTGGATGAATTCAACGTCTACGATTTCACGGACTGGACGCACCAACACCCTGGGGGAACCGACCCGATCACGCGATGGACTGGGCAGGCCGCAGTTTTTGGATGAAAACTGGATCCCACTCCCAACATCTCCTAACCTAGGTTTGTTTTGAGTCCTTTTTGGCGCTATCACGTATACGCAACAAAAAGCCCAAACTCCTGGTCAATGATTCAAGTACTCTGAGCGACAGGGATGAAACATATATTGGTGTATATTTCACTAGGGAGACCCGAATGGGGTAGACTGGTCTATTTTGTCTCCCTTATTGTCCTCAAATCTGAATCGGCCGGGTATCCCCGGATGACTTGAATTTTTCAGTATGCTTCTTTCACATCGTTCGCCCAGGGCATAAGAACCGACCCATTTCTGGCATTTTCTGGCCAGTAAACAGGATTTCTTTTTGTTTTCGGTATCCTGCTTTTGGTGTTACTCGTTCCTCCTGGCCAGGGTTATGAACTGGAGTTCCCCTCGTGGCATGGTATGGAGCGCTGGAACGAAGGAATTGCTCCCGGGGTCCTGCGCCCCAATCTGGTTGGCAAATACAAGGACTAGGGGGTCAAAACGTGGCTTTTGTTTCAATGACTCTGACGCAGTTGACTGATCCCACATGGGTTGGAGTCAGCCTGTACAGTGCTTGGGTCCCATTCTCCAAGCAGTTGCAATCTCCAACCTATGGAACTGGACCAGTTGCGACCAAAGAGGTTGATGTAGCATTGTCTGGAATCGTGAAATTACTGAAATTCTCAAGAACTGGGTTTTCAATTACCAGTTCTTCCCTTTGTCGGGGTAAACCCATGGATCTAACCGGACCGTGCTGACCGCTTCCTTCAGTAAGTGCCGCAGGAGTCGATTGAGTTTCAATCACTTCCGCAACCCTTACAGACACAGGACGGGACGGGATTCCAAGGTCTGCGGACTGGAGATGCAGACGGTCAGCGGATGCTCGGATGGTCGTGTTTAACCCAGCTGTAAAAGAGTACGATGATGTTTTTTTTGTTGAACTACTGAGGGAAAGAACCTCCTACTTGTTTCAGGACAACTGTCACAGACTGAGGGTTGCTCGCAATACAGTCAAACTCGTTGTCAGCATTGCCTGCTTTTTCATTTTCTGAGTCAGTTGTAGCACCTGGCTACAACTATCCAGATCTGAACAGATGTTTAGTAGAAGACCCAGTTTTCCAATTTGAGACCCTGAGAACGAGTCTGGATGAAAGAGGGCCCGCTTATGCAAGCGACAAAGCCACGCATTTGGGACAAAAAGCTCGTGACAAGAGCTGTTCAGAGATCTTAAGGAGCATTTTCAGAGAATTCAGCAGACTCAGCCTCGCTTTGCCCGCCATGGGCGATCTATTCAAAAGCAGTTTCAGTGCCAGTTTGTGAGACATGCGTGCTGATTCCAGGACTTGAGGGAAGCGCTTGCCACAGGTCAAGCTGATGGCAAGGAGTACTCCATCGTTTGTGGGTCCCCAGGAGAAGTGGCCAATAATGCCTTTCTGGGGCATCAACTTCCGGCTAGACATCGGGGAGAATATGATTGGCATTTTGATATGGACTACTTCTCTCGTTGGGGCAGTGCCGAACTGGCAAAGACCGCCGTTTGGACCATGCAGGCCTTGTATGCGGAGGATCAACTGCGACAGAGGACTGCTTGGGCCTTGTCCCAAATCTTCGTCTTGGCCGTAGTGGGCGGCAGCTTTGAAGGGCGCACAGAGATGTGGTTGAATTACTACGACATCTTTATTCGCAATGCTTTTGGAACTTACAGGGACATTTTGAGGGAGGTGAGAGTCCAACGTCAAGATCGCCACGTTTTAAATCCAGTTTATATACAGCCTTTTTTGGTTTGTATCGCCTGGCTTGAGCTTCATGTGCAGTAGTGAGATAGTCAAGACATTGCAAAGTCACAAAGTTATTGTTGTGGAATGCACGGCAGACAGATTCGTAAGCAGGTGACGTACAACCCCATCATGGGAGACTATTTGACGTTCAAGAGAAATAGAGCCTTCGACGAGAGCAACAACTATCCGGATGAGAACTTCGCTCGCGAGATCATGCAGTTGTTCTCGATTGGGCTTTGGAAACTCAACCCAGATGGCACAAGGAAGAAGGATGCTTCAGGGTGGCTAAGCTGATTTCTCCACCATAGGTCTGTTGAGTAGCTAATGATGAGTCCAGTGTTATTTGGTTGTTGTTCTTGATTTTTAGCGCTTTTGGGGAGGCAGGCTTGAACCTAGACTTGGGACAAGGGCCCTTCACTCGCAAGGTTGGACATCCCAACATATACCAATGAGCACATCATGAACTTTGCTCGAGTCTTTACAGGCAGGGAGCCAACAGTTTTGTGCATAGCATAGCCCTAAACATAGGCAGAGGTAACAAGCCTTTGTAAAGAACACTGGGATGTTGTGTTTTCAATCAACTCAACACCGTTCATACCAGTGCATGCCTCAAAGACAAGCAGCTCTGGGAAGTTTCGCGATCCCTGTAAGCCTACCGAGGCTTCGATGAACAAGCTGATCGCGACAACGTCGAGTATGTTCAGAACCACAACTTCATTGATCCGATGCGGGTGAACGTGACTGGACAGCAAGCACAAATAGGGAGGTGTAAATTTTTCGTGACAGGGTTACCTCAGGGTAGCAAGACGATACTAATGTTTTTTTTGTACCAGATGCAACAAAACCTAAACAAAGCCAACTTGACCAACCAACTATTTCACAGCTTTACCAAAAGACTATTCCAGCCAAGCCTTTGCCGTGGCCAGTTTGAAAGGACAGATAGGTTTTGGTGACTTTAGCTTTCCAGTCTAAGAAGTGGGTGTTCCAGTCTAAGGAGTGGGTGTACAGTATCACTTGTTTTTGTTCATATCTCTGATAAGTACAGTATATATATATAATCCGAGTCAAAAAGCGAGAGCCGTGCCGAGTCAGTGGCCGAGCAGCCTGGCCATAGCACTGCCGTCACACCGGAGGCTCGATGGCACGATGTGTATCCGAAGCCCGACTTGGATGGCAACTTCCTGGGGGATGGGTACCCGCTTTGCTCTGACCTTCCTCCAGGATACTTCCTTCTTCAAGGCTGGTCTTGGAGAAAGGCTTTGATTGACCGTGAAAGGCAAGCTGGAGATTGGTGATTTGAAAAGAATTACTTTTTTCTACATTGGCGATGCTCTTTGTGACTCACACCTCACGAGGTGCCAAATTCGAGTTTTTGGGTCATAACTACGGAGGCTCTGATGCTGCTCAGCAGGATTCATCAGCTACGAGCGGATAGGATCTCCATAGTGCCATAGGGTTTAAATCCATCATGAGAGAAGCTTACAACGAGTCTTGCACCAAAGCCTACTGGGCTTGCTCACAAGCCCACCGTTGACCTGTTGCGCTCGATCATCCGATTTTTGATGGAAGGATTTGGGGCGCACACTCTTCCCAGGTCCGGTCTCAAGAAGACAGGCTTGTCTGGAGGGGTTGGTTTGGGCACTTGGTCCTGAGTCCTGTGGTAGCACACCGGTGGTAAGACACTCGCGCCCCAAACACACGTATTGACCTATCGGTATCGGTGGTAACCAAGCACACCATGGCTGATTGGTGCGACTCCGGAAGTTTCGGGAAGTTTTGCGAGGTTTTGCCCCCAATAGAGATTCAGCCACCCTTGAGAAGTCGCCCAGTCCCACACCATGGTGGTAGAGACTTAGGTTTTGAGCTTGGACTCCTCCTCGCAGCTCTTCGCGAAGCTTTGTGGCTCCGGCAGCTCGGCTTGGACGACGCGTTGACTCAAAAGAACAGCCGAACGGTCCGCGCTTGGCCAAAGTTGGAGGCCGGTTTGGAGGCCGTTTGGGGTGAGAAAGTTGTCTTAGCTTGAGCTTTTTGAAGATCTTTTTGAAGATCTCTTTTCAAGCTGTTCCGAAATGAGCCCAAACTCACACATCTCCAGGAATTGATGCAGGTCATTACCGATGGTTGGTTCCACGTCGTGTGACCCTTCTCCTTGAGGCACGTCACCTTGCAGACATAGCCTCATTGTAGAGCTTGATCAGACGTTGACTTGCAGCAACCAAGAGTGTGCCGTGGACACCATCTCAGTGGTTAATGTCTCTGGAGGACTGACATGGCACTGGATGCAGTGCGCAGGATGTCTTTAACATTGGTTGGAGAGATTGTCATGAGCATTTTGGCTTGAGCAATGGCCCATGCAAGGATATTACAAGTACCTTCCTCCCAGCTGTGTGAACCTTTTCTTCTTCAATGGTCAGGCCATTCGGAGTGTTGAACGCCGTTGTGGGTCCTAGAGGCGCTCAAGTGCAATAGTTTATGCTGTGCTGTTGATTGATGCAAGTCTGACCTTCCCGTTTGTTACGTTGGATAATGTACGCTGCTTGATTTTTTGATGATGGCTCGTGCTACCTTTGATAGGTCTTGCGGACCCGGCTGGCCCAACACAATCTTCAATTTGATGGCCACTCTTGCTGTAAGGCCAACACCCCGAAAGTGATCACATCAGTCCCCCTTCTCTTGGTCCCTTGACGACGGGTCGCCGGGGACTGGGGGAGGGAGGATTGAGTCACCCAACTCCCTCGACCCTAGTAGCGATGGCCTCCACCCTAGCAGCGATGGCTTCTGCTGTGACTTCGCTACAAGGTGACCCGCCGGGGTGGCCGGGCGTGGGGCTGGACGGACCGCTGCGAAAATCCTCAGCTCGCAGTGGCAGGCGCGAGCAAGACCTTTGGGAAGCTGGGCGAAACAAAAGAGTATCAGAGTATCATTTTGGTGAAGTTGGGTGTGTGGTGTGTGAACCACTGGCATGTGTCAAGAGTGAACAGCAGAGAATATGTGGTTAGTCTCAAGTTCATGCTTTTCATGTATAGATTTCCAGGTATGCTGAAGACCTAGGGCAACCTCTCATCGCAGAAATTATTGCAACAGTGCTGGTGTTTTTTGAAAAACAGCTGGACTTTGAAAACAAGTAGCAATGCAGATATTCAACAGAATCGTTACTTTAGGTTCAAGTCCCTTTCTTTCAATTTTCCGGGGTTTCATCACTTTGACAGCTTGTCCAGGCACAGCTTGTTGCGGGGGCTGCAAGAATAGGAAGGATTGGTATTGGCTGGATCGGAGGGGTTGCTCCTGTGACAACGTGCCTTGGTTGGACAGGTGCAGTTATTCTCTTTGGATGCAGGAGACACAGGTGGAGAGACCACAGGTTTGAGGTCTCGGGGCCTCGGATGGTAGATGACAGCAAAGACATGCTCGTGGTCGCTCTAAGCTGGGCGATCCGTCGTTCGGAAGCAGCAGCTGAGGCCACGACCGTGTGTCCGGAGCTCTTTACTGAGAGGTGCAATCATCATGAGACGTGGAGAGAGCATCAATGGTGCCGACTGGCATGCTGGGAGAATGGTGTTGGCTATGAGACACAGCTGCATTCTAGCACTCCCGAGGCAATCGATTCATTTTTGTTAAATACAACGAGGTTGCTTGAAGCCAAACACCCTGTGAGCGAGACCTGAAAAGATCCCCCAACCATCGAAGTTCTCATTTGCAGCATCTGAGGAAGGTGACAATTGCACCAAGGGCTTGTGGCGCGGGGAACGCGCCTGTGGACACGATGGGGAGCTTGTGCGCATGGCCAGCGCTCAAAAAACCTGCGCAAGCCGTGGATTGGAGATTTGTGCCTTAGCCTGTACTCGTTGATTTGCCTTCCCTGCTGAAGGAAGCTAAGAGGTGTCCACTTCCACCCAAAGCCAACTTGCGATCTAATCCGGGGGACATCTGACATCTCTCCTCCCAAGCTCTTCCAAATTCCTGGAGAGTCATCAGCTGCGGGGGGGAATCTGCAGGAGCTGCCCTTGTGCCCTTGTGCTTTCGTTCCTTGGCCCAGGTGGGGAACGATTGGAGGGCTACGGCTGTGGTTATGATGAGGTGCACGTTTGGACCCCGGAGAAGTGCAGCTACGAAGTTCTGGTGCATGCTGATGGGAAGGTGAGCTCCAACCTCACCAGCAGGACTGCTGATGTGAACATGCCGGTGACCCCAACTGAGTCTCATGATTTTGCATTGAACAACGGACAGATTATTGTAACACATCTTTAGGACCATGCCCAGGACCCGGCAAAACAAGTTCTATGTGCCCTGGAAGAATGGAGACCATCCCCAGTCGCCCTGCCCGGCTGGGTGTCGCAGCTTCACCGACGGCTGCAGCTGCGGCTTCACCGTGGAGACCCGCCGCGCCTTCGACGCGGCGCCCGACGCGGCGGCGGCGCGGTCGCGCCTGAGGATCGGCGCGGCGAAGCCGCAAGCTCCGTGCACGCAGAACTGCCAGGGGGCGGTGAAGGTCTATGGGGCGATGGATGAGGAGGCGATCTTCGAAGTTGGAGGGCGATTTTACAAGAACAAAGAGGTCGTGGTGGTGGTTGGGAGCTTTGAGTTCCGAAACCCACCAAGCTTTGTGAGCTTGGAGAACCCACAGGAAAGAGATATTCATGTGGAGGTGGAAAGCCTGCTGGACCACTTGGTCTTTCATGAGAACACAGCACCTTTCATCTCATACCGCCTCATCCAGCGTTTGACCTCCTCCAATCCGACTCCCGCCTACGTCGGTGCCGTGGCCGAAGCGTTCAGAACTGGCACTTATGCCGGGCGGACTTACCAGGGTGCAGCTCGGCAGAATGTCAAGCTTTATGGAAGCATTGCAACCCAATATGCAATTGAAAGCTGCCTAAGATCATCAAGCAAACATTTGGTTGCCACCTCAAAGCCATCAAGCAATCGTCAGAAATTGCCACCGGTCTCCAGCGGTTTCGGGCACTGAAGAAGCTCAGGTCTATGGTGACCTGGCAGCTACTGTGGCAGCGATCCTTCTACATCCTGAAGCCCGGAGCCAGACAGCCGAGACCCATGGTGCACTACGAGAACCTTTGGTGAAGGCCGAATATGGACTGTCGAAAAAACAAACCCTTCCATATATATATATAGGTATGTATGTATGTATGTATGTATGTATGTATATATATATATAAATAGAGAGGGATGGTAAAACCTGCTCTTATTGATCAAATCAACAGTCCACAGTATACCTCCGGAGCCTGTAGCACTGGAAGCCTATTGAGTTTGTTGGTGGCAAATCATAGGACGTCGGCCAAGCCAACGTGCGAGAACTCACCAGAACGACCATGTCAGTGGAACAGTGCAAAGAAACCTGCAGATCTCAAGATCTCCGCCCTTTCCCAAGCTCTTAATCCTGTGCACGACCTCCTGAGAGTTGGCAGGTCGTTCACTTCATGAGGTCGATGGAGTACAAGGACAGTCTCCTGGCTGCGTTTCAATGGGATGCATCGGAGGTAGTAGACTGTCCTCATCCATGTCCCCGAACGTCGACGAAAGGCACGCCCACTGGAGCAGGGCCAAGATAGGGTCTCTGGGATCTTCAGGGACTGAGGGGGAGAACTTGCGAAATCTGTAGGGGACTCAGAAGAGTACCCAAGTCTGATCGTCAACCCATCGAAGTCACCTAGATGGTGGGGATTTACTTTCCAAAAGGCATTTTTGATCATCCCGTGAAGTGTTCACTGAGCTCAGTTTGATGTGGGATCAGCCAGTTTTGATGCAGACGGTGGACATAGCAAGACTCAGGTGCTGGGCGAAATGTGATGTTGTCCAACTTGATGCCCGTGATTGGGCAGTTTCCATATCTCTCACCATCCGTCTTCAACTTCTACTTGCCAGACTTCAAACCAAGCGACTTCCCTGAGGGCAAGGTTGGTGAGGGTTGTGTGAAGAAAGATTTGCCGCTCAGTGGCTTTGTTCCAAACAAGTAATTTCAAAGAAACCAAGTCAACAAACCGTCGGTCGAAAGGTGGGCCCCGAATTTGAGATCTTCACACCACCTTTGGCCATTGGCTTCATGAATGGCTTGACCTCCTTGATTGAGCATGGCTTGGGCCCTGCCCACTGTGAGACGGGCGGCATGGGCTTCGCGGCGCCCTCGAACTGTTCGGTGGGCGAGTTGCACCTGGGTGAGTTGGAATGCTTGCAGCCGACGATTGATCAGATGGACTTGTTGCTCACAGGTGCAAAAGGGGGTCGGGGGTCGGGTTGGGGGGACGGGTTGGGGGACGGTGTGAGAGTGGTGAGGCGGAGGGCGAAGGCCAGAAGCAGTTGCTCTACAAACAGCTGGCAGATCGCAGGGCTTTGGGGAAGGTGAGGGAGAAGGTTTCTCCTGCTTATAAACCTTTCATACAGAACTCCCGCAGATAGGGCTATAGTCGAGCTAGGGAAGACCAAGCAGGTAGCTTGGCTCAAGGCAAGGGAGACATGGAAGGACACGATTCAAGGGCTGTGTTATCGGCTGAAAAGCTCAGACATTAGAGGAACAGGCCACTGGCCTCATACTAGCATTCTCAATATGTTCAGGGTGGATGGGTGCCTCAAGCAATTCATTTGGCGAAGCTCAATGCCTTGTCAGATGTTCTATGCCACTTCTGTGGTTTTGGGTGCATGGGTTTCCATGCTTAGTGGTCGCTTGGTCAACGGAACAAACGTGCCGCTGTCGCTTTCTGCCATGGCTACGATGAACTTGGAGGTCCGCTGGGCCATCTCGGGCACACGTTTGAGCGCCATCAAAGCGCAGAGCAACGACTTGGTGAGACAGCTGGAGGAGAAGATTCTGCCGAGCGTGGGCGCTGGCCAGTCTGTGAAGCTCGTTTGCGAGGGCCGCATTTTAGCGCCACATGAACGAGTGGGGGATGTGCTTTCCAGCAACTCGATTTTGGATGTAGTGTGCAGAAGGAGCCAGGTGGGAGGACCCAGAGACCAGCATCTTAAAAGCTTATTTATATAATTTGCTTGGCTCCCAACACCCAACGGTTCTTCTTTAGGACGATTCTATTGCTTCTCCTTTCCGCTCAGACACTTTTGGGCGCAGGTCTTCACCGCTTCGGCCGATGGGAGCATTAAGATCTGGGGCGCCACTCAGGGCGAATGTCAGGCCACGCTGCTGGGCCACGTCTGCGCCGTGACCTCCTTGGCTCTCTCCTCGGAGAACCGCTGGTTGGTGTCCGGCTCCGAGGACTGCACGGCACGTGTTTGGGATGTGGAGTCGCTGGAGTGCCGGCACTTGCTGGTCGCTTGCTGAGAAGGTGGAGAGGCCCATAGAGGTCCTTGGGGTCTGGGTGGTTGGAGAGATGACTTCAACAAAAGCTGCTCCAGGGACAGTATGCTATTCTGAAAGAAAACCCATGGGGGGTCTCAGGACCCGTCTCACTGGGGTTCCGTCCTCGGCCCGTCCGGTCGCCAAGGCCGAACACTTTGGGGCGGTTCACGCTGTGGCCATCTCTCCAGATCAGCGATTGATCGTCACCGGGGCAGCAGATCGTGTGGCCATCCTGTGGAGTCTGGAGCATGGCACTCCGCAGGTGGGGGAAAGAAAGGGACGAAGGAGGGACACAAGTCAGACAGAGTGGACGAGTGGTCACTTCGTGACCGAAGTGACCACACGATGGCCTCCTTAACTGGGAAGTGACCTCCTTGACTGGGAAACGTTGAAAGACGGACAGCGACTGGCGACTGGCGACTGTCTCCAATGTCTCCAACCCGTGTGGGCAATATGGCCATACTTGCTTGCCCGTGTTTTCCTCAGGGTAGAAGGGGCCCTCAATGTTGGTTGCGGTCGCTATATAAACCGGAATAAAAACAGCTGAATACTCGCTTTATGAGCCGAAGTTCGACGGATTACCATGACTAGCCACTGCCACTTTGGACTCGTTTCCATATTTTTCGGATTGAGCCGGGATTTAGATGCCGGTCTTTCTCCATGTCTAAACATGTTGTTTACCGTATTGTCATTTTCCTTTGCTGTCCTGAAAACAGCATTCTGAGCCTCCACAAGTTTTGGCGGTTGGGTGTACGGAATGACGAGCTTCTTGTTAGTCGATCTCTTGTAAGTGCACATTGTGATTGCTGCGTGTTACAGTCACGCATCACAAAGGATACGGCCATGTAGCTACATCTCTCCCAAAAGGAGCTTGATACCAACAGAGACTGTCTGCGACTGTTGCTTGGTCTGTTGACTGCTCTCCTCCTTAGCCGCTTGCCGGCGGGGGACGAAACGGTCCAGGTGGCGTTGGAAGGGCATTTGGGCTCAATCCAAGCAGTGGCCTTCTCCCCTGCGGGTGCCACCATCCTGACCACCTCGCTGGACGGTACCGTGCGCTATTGGAGCTCGCGTACGGGGCTATGCGTGATGCTGGTGGCTGCACACCAGCGGGGCGTGTACTGCGGGGCCTTCTCAGAAGATGGGACGTTCCTAGGAGCTCGAGAGTTTGTGTGAACATGACCCAGCGATCCACGGTGTTCTAATGGATCGATTGAGCCACCTGAGCCAAGGTTGGTCATCACTTGCTCCGCCGACAGCTCGGTCCGCGTTTGGAAAGCTGGGGTCGAAAAGCCCAAGACCCTGGCCAGCGCGCACCATGGCTGCGTCTACACCGCCCACTTCCTGGCCACATCTGGCGCCGTTCGCGCTCCCGGCGCGGTGACTGGGGGCTGGGATCGGCTGGCGCGGATTTGGGACTTGGCGGGCGCCAGGTGCTTGCAGGCGTGGAAGGGAAGGAATGGGAGGAAAGGGAATGGAAGGAATTGGAGGAAGATGGAGGAATTGGAGGGGATCACCTGTTATTTTAGGGGGAAATCAGCTGAATGTTGCAGATTTTCTGCAAATAGACCAGAAAGGCAACTGGGCATTGGGGTGGGAACCCAAGAACAGGGGCTAGAGGTGAGCGTACCCCGATTGCAGTAGCACGTTGGAGTCAACGATTCAGAGCGGACTGGACAGATGGACAAAGACCAAGAGTGAAGCTTTTGAGGTCGGTATACTGACCACGTCGTGGTGTGTTCCTATGTCTTTTTTCTGATGTTTGCTTTGAGCTTTTTCTTTGATTTCGCCCAACCCGAACACCATCCCCAAACCCGTCGTTTGCACCGAACACATCCGATGTGTCCGACCCCCGGACTCAGGTCTTGCGGGGTCACGCCGGTCCGGTCTATTCGGTGTGCGGGTCGCCCGATGGGAGCACGGTGGTCACCGGCAGCAAGGATGGCACGGCCAAGTTGTGGTCCAGTAGCTCGGGAGAGCTACTGAAGACCCTGGAAGGCCATGAGGGTCCAGTGATGCGAGCCATCTTCAGTCATACATGAGGCCACAGCCGTCGAGGCCCAAATGGGCCGGCCCCATGGGCGGGCCCCCAACGGGGCCCCGAGGCATGGGCTCCATATGGGGTCTTTTCCGTTGCTTTCGGACGCATGCTGCCTGGAGTGCTTCTGCCTGGTGACAGGAAGCACGGGTGTAGGCTGTGAGTGGTGACTTCTCATAACTGAACGGTCCAGAAAGGCACAACTTTGCAGAGTCGTCTCAACTTCTGGTGGAGCTGCTGTGCGCTTGTTCGGCCCCTTTTCTGTGGACTCGCTGAACGCCGAACAAGCACAGAGGCAGCGGAGCGATGGAGCGATTTATACTGATTTGCTGAAAAGCGCCATGAGCGGAAGAGTGCTTGGTGTGGATAGTGGCTGGAGGCCTCTTTGGTCTACAACTCTCTTGGGCTGCGATAGATGTTTGTTGGTGCTGAAAGCAGTCCTGGGAGCATGGTGAGGCCCAAAGAGTCTCAGGGCGGGACAAAGACTGCCCAGCATTTTCGAGAAAAGTGTGCGCCCACCTGTGTGAGCAAACTGGTTTTCAGCTCTTCCACTTTCGCACCGTCGTGACCGATGGGCATAACGGTATGGTCTCCAACTTCTTTGGCTGTCGCTGTAGATCTTTAGTGGCAATGGCTGAGCCCTAAGTAATGAGCCAAGAATTGATTGATCAACAACGACACCCAAGTCAACGGAGCTTGCTCGATGATTGTTTGCTTACTACTTCCTTTGCAGCAAGCATCAGCAAGTAGAAGTCTACTTGTTAGCCGGAAGGTGGTTCCGTTGGTTGTGCGTGTGATAGCATAACGTGGGCCCTCGAGGCTGCTGCCAGCCCATGACACGCTAAAGCTCGAACGCTACCAAAACCATGCGACATCCATCAGCATCCAACTCTTGTATAGTTTTCAGTTTTCAGGTAAGCACCCGGATCACATTCTTTTCGATTTTTATTTTCTCTCATCAAAACCATTTCTACATGCGTGTGAGGGGGTGTGAACAGTGGTCAGATACCGGATCAACCAGGTGGGCGATTGCATGATTCTGGAAAGATCAAGGCTGCTTGGCAGAATTCAGATGGTGGCCATGAATACAAGACCGCCCAGAAGTTTGGCTGCATGGGATGGAGGGCTGAAGTGGGGCATAGCTATGGTGGGAATGGGACACTGGCCGGGACATAGCTGACCTGTTCCTCCCTTTGCTGGGGGTGCCAGGGGTGCATGTTAAGACGACAGATGCTGGAAGCGCAATAGGTTACATCTCATGTCAGGTTTTTCTAGGTGACTGTCAACTCCGCTGCGACGCCGACAGATGAGTTCCAGAGTTCTGGATGCGTTGTGAACCGGGAAAGAACGAAAGAACGAAAGACAGACAGACAGACTTCTCCGGCTGCCGAGCTTGAGCATTGATTTGAGTGAATCTGCAGGGGTATCATCTTAGGATGGCCATGGTCCTGACGCCGGAGTTTCACACGCTTGGAAGCCCCTTAGCTCTTGGCCAGAGAGCCCCACCACCTCCCGTCGTGCTGGAAGAGCCTAGATCCTACAAGGCTTTGGTGATGATTTTCATGAATGGAGGTGCCGGGAGGGTTCTTCCGCTTGCAGATTTGGAATTACTTGCTTTGAGTGAATGAGGGTCACGGAATCGGCGGACCCGGTGGACCGGCCACCGAGCACTGGTTTGTTCAGCAGCCGAATTGCTCGGTGCTGACTGGTTTTGTGAGGTGCTGACACCTTCAACATGCTGGTGCCCATGAACTGCCCCCTCTACGATGAGTACTCTGAGGTGCGAGGCTCGGTGGCCTTGGACCCCACGGATCTGAATATGATCAGCACCACTGGGCAGAGCTGCGGGAACTTCGGCATCCATGCGCGCTTGCCCATCTTAAAGGAGCTCTATGATTTGGAACAGGAGGGAGGGTGCCGTGGAGGATGTTGGGAGTTTCTAAGGGAACCCCTCTTTTTCTGGGATTTTTTTCAATTTTTTCTGGGATCTGTTTTTCGATTTTTTTCTGGGATTCTTTTTTCAATTTTTTCCCCTACTGCTTTTGCTTTTGCTTTTTGCTTCTCTTTTGCTTTTGCTTTTGTCCTTTGCTTCTGCTTCTGCTTTTGCTTTTGCTTCTGCATCTGCTTTTGCATCTGCTTCTGCTTCTGCTTTTTGCTTCTGCATTTGCTTTTGCTTTTCCTTCTACATTTGCTTTTTGCTGCTGCTTCTGCTTTTGCTTTTTGCTTCTACTTTTGCTTCTGCTTTTGCTTTTGCCCTTTGCTGTTGCTTTTTGCTTTTTGCTTTTGCTTCTGCATCTGCTTTTGCATCTGCTTTTGCGTCTGCATTTGCCTTTTGCTTCTGCTTCGGCTTTTGCGTTCTGCTTTAGCAATTAGAGCCTGTGCTGCTGCAAGTGGCCAGCTTCCACAGCTGTGCTGCTTGCAGTGGCCAGGGTCTAACGAGCGTGAGTTGCTGCAAGGGGACAGCTTTCAACACTGCGCTAGTTGCAGTAAAGACCCTGTGCTGCTGCAAGTGGCCAGCTTCCACAGCTGCGCTGCTTGCAGTGGCCAGGGTCTAACGAGGGTGTGTTGCTGCATGCGGCGAGCTTCCCACTCCTACGCGATGAAGGAAGTGGCCATTCTGTGGGCCATGCAGGGGTAAAACTTAGAGAAGGATGTTGCCAAGTTGACTCACCCTTTGGTGAGCCACTTGAGGGTAAAATTTAGAGAAGGAAGTGGCCATTCCAAGTTGACTCACCCTTTTGTGGGCCATGCAGGGGTAAAATTTAGGGAAGGATGTTGCCATCTCAACTTGACTCACCCTTTTGTGGGCCATGCAGGGGTAAAATTTAGAGAAGGATGTTGGCCTCCCAAGTTGACTCACCCTTTGGTGAGCCACTTGAGGGTAAAATTTAGAGAAGGAAGTGGCCATGACAAGTTGACTCACCCTTTTGTGTGCCATGCAGGGGTAAAATTTAGAGAAGGATGTTGCCATCTCAACTTGACTCACCCTTTTGTGGGCCATGCAGGTGTAAAATTTAGAGAAGGATGTTGCCCTCCCAAGTGGGCTCACCCTTTGGTAAGCCACTGGAGGGTAAAAGTTAGAGCAGGATGTGGCCATTCCAAGTTGACAATTCTAAAAAGAGTTAAGCCGGAAGAACACCTAAAGCACCCCTAAGGACAAGAAACCGAGCCCAAAGAAACCTGAAGCCAGTGAAGCCCAAAGACAGCCGCAAAGAAGTCCGTATAGTGAGTGGGATACCTTTTCTGTTCCCTCCCTTTCTGTCCCTTTCTGCTGCTCCTAGTGCTTGGAAAGCACTCCCAGCAGAAGCCAAAGCAAAAAGTTTCCCTCCCTTTCTCTCCATCACGCTGGCTTTGGCGCTTCGTCCCTGCCCTTGCACTCGCAGCAGAAGCCAAAGCAAAAAGCAAAAGCAAAAACAGTAGGGGAAAAAATGAAACAAAATTTCCGGAAAAAATTGAAAACATTCCCGGCAAAAATCTCCATCCCTTTCTAAGAGGTGCTTCTCTGCTTTCGTTCATGCGTTCTTTTTCTGGATATCAGTCATGCTATGAGTGATGAGTGGGCAATTCTCGATTCTCGATACATCATGCAGAGGGGAAGGTTTGTGAAGCCTGATGAGAGTAGACCCACTTAGCAGAACCATTTGCCTAGCCTTCCAGTCCGGAGTGCAACCTGCCGAATTCCCCGAGGCAAGAATCTGCCCAAGCTCCTACATTCCCACAGGAAGAATCTGCATATATATACCTGGGAAACCATACGACCACTTACAAATGGTTGTTTGTGTGAACGATCATTTTTGTTGGGAACGACCACTTCTGGAGAAGCGAAGGGGCGTCAGATTGGAATCCAGTTGCTTGTGTGTCTCAAGCCACCTTTGATCGACATACTGTGGCGGCACAACTAGTGCATATGCTCATCAAGGCCAGTGAAGCAGCAGTGGCAGTGGTAGGAAGAGATTTTGAGGCTGGCACCTAGTTGTGGCAATGAATGTTTGATGTTTGGAATGCCTTAAAGAATGGGATTGTGATGCATGAATGATGTATGTCAAGTAATTACTTTGCCTTTGGAAACCCACCCTTTTTTGTTCTCGCTGACTGCGATGGTCATGGTCCTCTGGCCTGGGCACGCTGCATCCACTCAATGCGGGATCGTGCCCCGGGATGGGGGAAGGGGAAGGATGGTAGAAGGGATCATGCTGTGAAAACAACTATACACGCCCACTCGCAGCATTTTGTTTGCCACTTGACTTGTGTAGCTACCATGGAGACTCCTCGGTTCTCTTATCAAGAGCCATGTGTCGCTGCGTGGGAGTTAAGCCGTGAGTTGCGGAGGAGGGGCATTCAAGGGAAGCCGCTGGTTGAAAACTCTCGGGATGATGATGGGGAGGCTGCTGTTCTGCCAACCTTGCCGAACCTCCGCCGCAACTACACCCTCTTGAAGGCCTACACATCAACCATGGCAAAGACCGGAACTATGTTGACCTCCCGAATCTCCTATATCGGTGAACCCATCACAGCCTTCTACGAATTGATGGGGCTTACTGTCACCAGCCAAGCTGGGAAATCCCTTTGCTATGGAAACTCTTACATTGTCAAAAGGATGCTGTCTGCCATAAGGAGAAAGTGGGCAAGATGGGAAATGCCCCGAGTAGCTGAGCCTGAGAAGTATCATCTTATCTTAGGTGTGTTGTTTAGATGAGTGGACCCCATGAATATAGCAACCTAGAAAGGCCAACGTATAGCTTAGGACCCCTATGTTCGGGATTTGGTCAAGGACCTCAGCAAAGCATATGACAAGGCTTTGTCAGACACTTGCTCAGCATTTGCTTCAAAACCTTTTTTGGGGGGGGTTGTGGTGAGAGTAGAATGCCTCTACCCTTTCTCTTCCACCATCAATTTGCCTAGGAGGGTCGGTCTCCGGTCCTAGAGGACCATGATGACAATGATGATGATGATGATGATGGCAATGATTGCGATGATGGAGGTTCCCCGAGCATGCGCAAAATCCGTGAAGTCTTGTCCCGCAGCAATTCTCAATTGGAAGAAGAGGCCACTCAATCTTTGGAAGAGTTGCGTGCCCTGGCCGACGCTGACATGGCTGCTGAAGCTGAGACCCAATTGGGCGAGATCTTGCCTGAGGCCGTGCCTGAGGCCCCAGGCAGCTCTGGGCAAGAAGCTCACGTCATCGAGGATGATTCTCAACCACTGTCCCCAGCAGCGGCACCTGAGCAGGATTCGGTCTTGACGCTTCTTGAGATCGTTCGGAAGAAGATGTTCCTAGTCAGATTTATCTCATATGTTCTCTTTGCCGTGGCATCTAGTGACTAGTGTCGGTGTTTAGTTTACACTTGGTTTCCCCATTGCCAGCGTGATTGAGGCGTGATATTGAAACAGTGGAGCGTGAGAAAGAGCTGAACTCGACATCTGGCCCCAGCAGTGCCGTGGCAGGTGCCCCAAAGGAGCCGGCGTTTGCGGAGGCTGCCCTGCCTGCTCCTGCTGTGCCCGGGAAGAAAGCTGCCCCGCCTGGTGAAGCTGCGGCCGATTTGAGGCAGCGTCTCCAGACCGCAAACGAAGCTGAGCGTGAGTTGATGTTTAAGGAGGACGGCTGCTTTCTTTTCTGTTATGTGGTTTAATAATATATTGCTTTAATACTAGCCCATGGGCAGCTAACCAGTGTTGTGGGCAGCTAACCAGTGTTGTGCGAACAAACCCTGTGAAGGATATGGGTGCAGAGGTTTCATCTTTTCTCAGAGAGCAGCAACTTGCACTTGCCAAAGCCAAAGCGCGGAAGAAACGGGGCAGCAAAACCGATGGTGATGATGATGATGATAATGAAGTGCCAGAAGAAGAAGAGGAAGTGGAACCGGAAGAGGAGGAACCCAAAAAGGAGACTTCAAAAGCAAAAGGCAAGGCTAAGGGATCAGGAAAGGCGAAGGGGAAAGGCAAGGGCTCGGGAAAGGGGAAAGTGCAGAAGAAAGGCAAGGCAAAGGAGAAGGAGGAGCCCCCAAAGAAGGCAGCGAAGGCCAAGGCAACTGTGGTTGATGATTTAGAAGAGGAGGAAGAGGAGGAGGAAGAAGAGGAAGAGGAACCAGAAGAGGAGGAGGAGGAGGAACCCAAACCCAAGCCAAAACCAAAGGGGAAGGCGAAGGCCCGAGCCAAAGCCTCGGCAAAGGCGAAGGGGAGGGCAAAGGGGAAGGGGAGAGCAAAGGCGAAGGCAAAGGCTTCAAGAAAGAAGGCCAAAAAGAATGAGAAGAAGGAGAAGAATGAGCCACGGGCGAAGGTTGATGGCAAGGCAACTTTCGCGAAGCGATACCAGCCATCGGGGCCGAAGAACAGTGAGAAGTGGACAGCTATCCGGGATTCCTATGATGCGCATGTCCGGCCATATGTTGGTTGGCATACATGGTGTGAGGCCGGAGGCTGTCAAAGGTCCACTTCTTTCATGCTTTCCAAAAAAAGGCAGTGTGAGGTACTAGGGGCTAGGGATTGCTATTAGGTATATGGAATGGCATAGGGGTGCTCCAGTCACCAAAAAAACAAATACATGCAGTATCTTAAGAAGGGGAAATATTAGCCATCATCAGCCATCCACAAATCATTTTTGATGGCCATACGCTGAAATTGTTGCCCTGGACAGGAGCAGTGGTGGCAGCATTGCGAGGAAGCTCTTGGATCGAACAGTGGTGATCTTGCATGCCTCGACAAAAAGCTGGCTGCATGCTTCTTCAAATTGGACAGCATTTGCACTTTGGCTTGGCCTAGTCTTTTCTTTATCCATGCATGGCCACCAAGCCACAACGAGTTTTTGGGAATATGGTTTTCCATCGATGGTTTTATAATGTTTTCGGGAATATATCGATTGAGAAACTCAAGCCGTTTCGTTTGCGCACAGGTGAGTGCCTCAATGCA